AGTGAGGGCAAATTCTGATATTATGTAGTTTGATCATTTAACTTTACAGGTCATTTAACAGTCTGGGAGAACTACCAATTATATATTAATTATCAAATAAATCATTTATCAATAAGTTAATCAGGTATTTATGTATTTTACTTCATGTAAGAAGACATGGAGGAACAAACAAACAAAAAAAAAACACTTTTAAGAACCACTTCAGATTTTAGAAAACCTGTGGAAAATGTATGATTTGTTTCCACAAGTTTATGAAATTTTATTAATCAAATTAAGTGATAAAACTAAACCAAATGGCTCCTGGTCAGTTTGTCCTCTACACTTCATGAGGTAAATCGTCTTTGGCCTTCCTTTGAGGTTTTATGAGCCTTAGCAACTAATCTATGGAAGCCTTGCAGTCATTTCAGTTTAATAAGTTCCCAAATGATTAATGGTTTTATAATAGAAAGTCTCACGGGCATAGGTAGTCGTACGGTAATGTCTGAAAAATTAATCAACTACACAATGCCTCAGCTATAAAAAAAAAAAAAGAAAAAGGTCTTTTATAGGATACAATGTGGTGTATTTGTAACTATTTATACAGAAGAAGCAGACAAGATTATATTATCACATATATGTTGTTAAACACAACCTTACCCATGACTCTGGCGTGAACTTTAACTCTGACGCAGACGTCGTCGTTGGTCTCGCTCAGCAGCATCACCTCCTCACACAGAACTCCCTCGTGCTGGGTTATGTACTCGCACGTTATCTTCAGACCTCCTGGAGAGACATGCAGGACAAAAAAATAGCAACAAAGACAGAAAAGAGAGTAAGTGTCGTCTTTATTGGCACGTTTTACTAACGCACGCACATCTCTACTTTATCTTCTCTGCGTGAGATGTTTTTTATAAGGATAATTCGAGTGTCGGACAATCCAGAACAAAATGTCAACGGGATGGAAAAAAAAACAAACACAGCTGACTGATAAGCACATGAATATACACACACACACACACACACACACGAGACAAACATAGTAGCACACCTGTTAACATAATCAGAGAGGCTGAGAGTAATATAAAGGGTGTGACGATTAACTGAAAGTAAAGGTCAGTAACCTGCTTCAATTACAGGCATGCAGTCGTCATGACTCCCAGAAACCTCTGACCCATTTCAGCTGTTTTATTGGCCAGGAGAAGCTCACGTTCATGCTAGCAGTTAAAAACTATCTTTTTTTTAGCCCACACGGGTGGCAGATGTTTAGGGTTTACCGACTATTGCGGCATGACGGGTGGCAGGAACACAGAGAAACACAGGAAAGCGTCTGAAAGTCAGATCTGTTCCTATGATTTTTTTTTTTCAAAGAAGGATCTCTGTGCTGACATGAGCTGAACTGTCTGCTGCTGTAATCCTCAGCCATCTGGAACTCTGCAGCCAGTGACTGTGCTGCCGAGTTACTTACTTTTTAGCTTAGCTATGCTTTCGAAAAATATGACTGCCACTATCCTTCAACACAGTCTGAACTCTCTG